ATATATATATATATATATATTTTAAATAAGCAGTCAATGATATGTTGAAAGCCAACAAAAACTCATGAGTATAAGTGATTTCACCTTTGACACTTAGGAACCTTATTCGGCAGGTATACTTACTAAACGTATTAAATTTGAATTTTATAAATTCAATCGTTAGATTGAGAGTTTTTTACTCTTAGATCATATATAAAATTTTATATTAATCTAAAATAATTTAATACTTCATTTTTATAAAACAATATTAACGTAATATATATATTTCAAAATATACTAAAATATGAATACTTTGATTATTTTTAAGTTGTTCAATTTTAACAAATTTTGATATAAACATATAAAGTGATATGAACTTTCAGGTTGCGACACCCAACATACCACGTACTTACCTCATAGATTCCATATGACAAACTCGGTGTTCTCAATTGCCGAGATAGTCAAGGTAATTGAGCTATATACAAATACACATTATTAAGCATAATCTCGACACTTTTGACAACTGAAACAATTGAGATGATTGAGGCTAATCAACTAAATATATATATATATATATATATATATATATATATATGTGTGTGTGTGTGTGTGTGTGTGTGTGTATTTCACTTTAATTGTGATGGTCTTGACACTCGACAATCGAAGTAGTCGAGATGACCAAGGTAGTCATGTCATGTCATGGCATCATCATAATGTAGATTACACAACTAGTAAAGAGGATATATTGTTAGCAACCGTATTACACTAGATTACTTAATTAGTAATCAAGTACCAAAAATCATCATATTCAAGTTCATTATGTTCAGTATAAAATAGTTATACTAATGGAGATAAAACTATTGTTCATCTCGATATTTATGTCAAGCCTTAACTTGAGTATCAAAGTGCCCTTTATAAGTATCTTATCCTCCAAGTTCATCGACAATTGTGGAGATTAAAGACCTTAGATGTTAGAGATCTACTATTGTATCTTTCGACAAATACATGCATAAAATACACTTATTAATTAGTATGTTTAACTTATTTAAATGTGTTGTTTTATGATATATCTTTTTATACTAATTTTATTAATATTAAAGGATTTAAATGTGTTAAAATCGCTTATAAGTTAATTAAGATAGTTTTATTTAATTAAAAATGATGTCATGTATAAATCATCATAAATATTACTCACATCTAAATTGAGTTAATAACTTGATGAAAGATGAATAAAAATACATATTTAATTTTAATAAAAAAATTTATTTATTGTTAAAATATTAAACGATTAAAATCATACATTAATTATAGTAAATATCTAAAGTGCAATTAAATCTAGAATAAACTCTCAATTTATACTTTCAAAATTATATGCATCACTATTTAAATCATTTAAAAGGTTTATTTTAGTCATCATATTAGGGTAAGAATATTATAGAATAATCATTATATATTTATATCACATTACAAAAAAATTGATTATTGTATTATTAAGAGTATAATTTTTTATACTACTTTTTAATCAATCTTATTGATGTAAATACAATTAAAATACACATTTCAATTTTTCAATTTCACAAAGAGTATCAAATTAATTTTTAAAGAAACCTAAGAATACATATAAGTCATAAACTCTAATTTTAACTCAATCAATCAACTGATACATGAAATTATATAATTAAATATACAGATTATGTTATCAACACTCATTTGGAGTGTTCATAATCCCTTCAATCACATATAATAGGGGTTTAGAGATTGTCTAACTATCCTCAATTTTAACACATACATATATGATAAGACACCACCACTTCCTTTTACCTTAATTAGATAAATTGATCTCTAATATAGGAAGTGATGTCTAAAATCCTATAAGACAAAGACAATCATATTTTTTTAAAATTTTTTCTACTAATTTTCACGAACTTCCCATAAAATAATTATCACACATATTAGCCTATTTTACATTATAATTATTTATTGTATTCTCTTAATTTGTTTTTAAGTTACTTAAAAAATAAAAAAAATTATTATTTTTAATTTTTATTACATGAAATAAAATAATCTTATTAAAATGAGTAAAAGTAGAGTTAAATGAAAATTGATATTTAAATTATTCATAACTTTAATATTTTAAATTTTAAGTTAAATTACATTTTTAGTTATTTTATAATATCTAATTTGTGTTCCTCTCTTTAACCTCCTCTAAAACCTCATTCATTTTTTTTTTGGAAGAATTTTAAATGACTCAAGATAAAATGCTTTGTTTAGACGAAGAATTCACAAAAAATTTGAAATTGAAGCATTTATGAAATTTCTTAAATAATAAAAATTTAATTTTTCTAAAAGTAAGAATTTGAAATTCTCACATTTTTTTATCTACTTATATATCTTTTATCTCTCTCCTATCTCTTAATTATTAAATATTAAAAAATATTTTTTAAATTAT